AATCTTCCTGCAAAGCAAGTTGATCACTGTCATCGTGTAAGGCCCTCCATATCTTGATGTCATCAGCAAACAGTAAGCAGGATGACTTAACTACCGATGGAATCTCATTGACATAAATCAGTAAAAGAAGTGGGCCTAGAATTGTACCCTGGGGAACGCCACTCTTAACCAATTCCCAAGTTGATAAAACCCCGTTAACTCGTACTCTTTGTCTTCTGTCCTTTAGAAGTCTTGAATCCAGTCGGCAACCACTTTATTGATTCTCATACTACCTAACTTTACTAGAAGACCTGAATGAGAAACCCTGTCAAACGCCTTGCTAAGGTCGATGAATATGACATCCACCGGTATATTAGCATCAGCTGAGCTTGCCCAACTTTCTCTGGCCAAAAGAAGGTTGGTCAAGCAAGAATGACCTGCTCTAAAACCATGCTGTTCCACAGCGAGAAGTTTGTTCCCTTCAATGAACTGAATGATAGCATCACGAATTATTCTTTCTAGTAGTTTAACAACAATACTGGTCAAACTAACAGGACGATAGTTCTGAATTAAGTTTCTAGATCCGGTTTTGAAGACCGGTCTAATGGTGGCATCTTTCCAGTCTCTTGGACATTTAGACGGGTCCAGAGACATATTGAAGATTACCGACAATGGCTCGGCTATGTTTTTAGCCAATGCTGTTAATATACGTGGGTGAAGTTCATCAGGGCCACTGGACTCACCAGGATTTAGCCTTAGAAGCCACTTTAGGACAGTATCCTTTCCAATGTATAAGGGTGCCATTTTCAAGTTACCTTCTGGAAAAGTTACAAAGCTGGTATCAATATTATCAGAGAATACTTGACTAAAGTGCTTGGACAAAGCCTCAGCCCTAGTCAAGTTATCCTCAGCCATGTTCGTCTGGTTATCTTCAAGCATAAGAGGTGGGATAGCATCACTCTTACTTGTTCTTCTCTTGATAGTAGAAACAAAGAGATTCCAGAACCTTTTCCTCCGCCTTAGGAGGGTTATTATTATTATTATTGTATCCTTTAATTCCTGCAGGAATATAGGGCTTCAGCCGTCCGTCTCCATTGCGCTTTGTTCTCTGCTAGGGTCTTCACTTGGCTCCAAGTCTGCCCACACGTTTTCATCTCCTCTTCACATGACCTCCTCCAAGTCACCCTCACCCTAGCACTGACGACCAACTCGCCGCTTCCCATTCGGGTTCCACTCGAGCAATGGCTTGTCTAGTGATGTCACTTGATGGTTTCCTCAGAGTATGGCCAATCCATCTCCATTTCTTCCTTTCCATTTGTTTGCCAATCGATTTCTGGTTGGTTCGTTCCCAAAGATCCCTGTTGCTGATCTTTTCCGGCCATCTGATCTTGAGTATTGAGCGAAGACAACTGTTGATGAAGGCCTGTAGTTTGTTTGAGATGCTCCTTATGACGCGCCAAGTCTCTGATTGGTATAGTAGCACTGACTGGCTTCACATTGGAGTTGAAAATCCGGATGTTATTTTTGATGCTGAGTGCTGTTGAACTCCACACAGACTTGAGAGTAGTGAAAGCTTGTCTTGCTTTTCCGATCCTTGCTTTGATATCCTCGTCAGTTCCGCCTGTAGTTGTAACGATGCTTCCCAAGTGGGTAGGTACAAGAGGTTGTTTCTTTCAGGTTCCTCCCATTTATGCTGATTGTTGTCAGTTGTTGTTGTTGCTGTTGGTGGTGTTGCCCAGGAATCTTCATCACCTCTGTTTTCTCTATGTTCACCTGAAGTCCTATCTTTGATGCTTCTTCTGCTAACTTGTTGCTTTTCGCTTGCATGTCTTCCAGTTTGTTGGAAATCAGACATATATCATCGGCGAAGTCCAGATCCTCCAAGTTTTTTGTGTGTGTCCATTTTATGCCTGTTCCTTCATTGCCCACTGTTTGTCGCATTATCCAGCCTACTGCAATCAGGAAAATCATTGGTGATAGTAGGCAGCCAGCTTGTCTTACTCCTGTCCTCACTTCGAAGGATTCCGTGAGTTTCCCGTTGTGGATTACTTGGCATGCAGCATTGTCGTATAGCTGTTGGATGAGATGTATAATTGTCGGTGGCACCCCGTAGTAGAGAAGTAGTTTCCAAATCACCTCTCAATCGACGCTGTCGAAGGCCTTTTTAAGGTCGATGGAGTTGAGATAGAGAGGTGACTGCCACTCCAAGCTTTGTTCAATGATGATCCGTAGTGTGGCGATCTGATCAATGCATGACTTGTTTCTCCTGAATCCAGCCTGTTCCGGTCGAAGTTTTTCATCCAGGGCTTGTTTGATTCTCTCCAGGATGATGCAGCTTAGTATTTTGCTTGGGATGGACAGAAGCATAATTCTGTTCCAGTTCTTGCATTGACCTAAGTCCACTTTCTTTGACAGTTTGAATAATTATCCTTTCTTCCAATCCGCGGATACCTGGCTCTCTTTCCACACCTCCAGTAGTGGTGTCATCAAGTCCGCTGTTGTCTCTGGGTCCGTTTTCAATGCTTCTGCTGGGATTCCATCTGGTCCTGCTGCTTTTCCAGCTTTTAGCATCTTGATTGCCTTCAGGACTTCTCATTTCGTCGGGGGGGGGTGTTCACTGGTAGCTCTGTCTCCGTTGTTGGTATTGCTGGGCGCGTTGTAGGTGGTGGTCGATTCATGAGTCTTTTGAAGTGTTCAGCCCATTGTTTCCTTTTGCTCCACTTCGTTGTTGAGTGACTTTCCATTGTCTATTTATCCATAGTGGCCGGTTTGTTGGTTTTTTAGGAACCCTCCAGGGAATGAAATCAGTGGTAACCCTCTCAAGTGTATTCTTAAATCTATCCCATTCATCTTCAATGGATGAGACAATATTGACTGACCAGTCCGCAGTTGAAGCACGCTCCTTTATAGCGACTATGTCAGCATGCCAAACACTAGGTCGGGATTTGGGTTGAAAACTGACTAAATTGCCAACCCTTAAGTTAAAGTCTAATACCCTATGATCACTGTTTGCTAGAGGTGGATGAATAACTAGACCATCCACGTCGCCGTTGTCATGAGTAAGCACTAAGTCCAGCAAGGAAGATCCTTGAGTAGAACCGAATCTTGTACTACCTAAGACATGTTGTGTCACGGCATTTTCCATGGTAGTCAAGAGTAACCGGCTGTCAAACTTATTAGCGGATCCTGGAGATGTGACAGTTACCCAGACTATATGAGGTGCATTAAAGTCACCTAGAATAAGACAGCTACTGTGTTAACTCCATTGTTTGAGGTAATCTAAAATAAAGTCATCACACTGACAAAACGGACTTCTATACAGAACACCAATGAGTAAAGTGCCAGCTGCAAAGCTTACTTCACAGCTAATTACCCCACTTGTTCCACTGTCATGCGCCTCAGATTTCACGGAACGAACATGTAGGGAGTTGTTGATGTACAGAGCAACCCCGCCACCTCTACGACCCTTAACCCTGTCGCTGCGCAAGCAACTAAATCCGCATAGCTCAGGTGTGTCATCTAATCCAGAAACCAGCCATGTTTCAGTAATGGCCACAATACTTGGGCTAAGGTCTTCCACTAATACACCTAGCTCATGAAATTTGTTCCCGATACTACGTATATTAGTGTACACTACCTTCAGGCTTCCTATGCGGTCCGGCTTATCCACACAGGTCTTGGAAGCATACGTTTCCAAGACCTGACTATTTGAAAACCCACCAGTTTAAGGTTAGTCTCACCATTTTTACGTCTTGTTTCCAGCTGGGACAAAACTTCTTTTCGTTTAAGTCTGTCTTCAAGAGATAAATCAGGTCTGACTGAAATTCCTGACCCGGCAAGTTGTGTACATTAGCCAGTAGGTGGTTCCGTTCATCAGGAGAACTTAAGACTACTTTAAGCAACCTACGCTGATTAGAACATTCATCATCTCTTTTGCCTATTCTAATCAGCTTTTTAATCGATACTCCAGGGAAATTCGCTGGGAGTATCTTCCTTATAATACTACTCACTAATTTAAGGTCGTGATCGTGCCTTTTTACGGGATCAGATTCTTTGGACTCTTCTAAATTTCCAACAATTATGTTAGAGTCTAAGGAGAGCTTGTTGTGTTTAGCAGTGGCTACGTCTTTTCTCACCACTATTGATGCAGCCTGGCTACAGGTGACAGACGTTTGCCTACCATCAATATTACTATGTTTCTTCCGATTGCTTATTTTCGTTACCCACTGATCATCTGCCTGCAGTTGCTTCTCAGGGCTGCTGCAGTTTTTGATGGTACAATCGAGATCAGTGTCTGCACCACCTTCATGGTGAACTTCGCTTACAGTGTTCTCTGGTGCTGAGATGCTGTTTGCAGCTTCCGTTTTGTTACCTTTACGTTTACTAAGACGCTTCGAACGCCTAGTAGGTTTTACTTCCGGGGTAACTGGGATAGTAACCGCCAGTGTGGTAACATTCATTATGGCACTTACTGCGTCATCTTCAGACGGGCAGTCTGTGTCACTATTACTAGCCACGCTATCATCAGGAAGTTCCATGGCCTTAGACAGTAGTCCGTGAGCCTCCCTTATCAAAGTCATCTTTGGGGAGCAACACATTCTGCACATCCAGTGGGATGTTGGAGCACTACAACGTTTGTATGCAGCTGGACGTAATCCAGTACACATCTTATGATACCACCTTTTACAGTTATTACACTGTATTCCATCATCTACCAAAAAGTAACACTCCGCCCTATTACATTTATGTGGTACTTTTGACATAATGAACTTCTACTGGAAAAGCCAAGACAATTTACCCAATATAGACTATATAAGTGGTTAAAATCAAAACTTAACAGACAAAAGTCAAGTTAAAGTTTTAAAAAATGTTCTTGAAGTGAATAACACAACAAAAACAGCGATTTGTCAAATACGTGAAAATACGTGAAAAAAGCACTCCCTTTTTCAAACAGCGCTGTAGAGGGGTTTATAAAACGCACATCAAGGACTATCCTTAAATTTATACAAAGTCGCTACATAATGCACACCAGCTCTATTAAATTAAGTATAATCCAGCCATGTCTGGGGAAGTCAGGATGTATTTTGTTTAAAACTCTCGTGGACTGGTATATATTGTGTGATATTTTGAAATATTTCACACTTATCGCGCCCTCGGTCAGTGGACAGTCACGGATTAAAGTGTTGACTTTATTTATTCGAATAATTATTTTTGATTCAGTCACTTAGGTAAGACAAGTAATTTGTATGTGGGAAAGTTTGTTCTCACAGCCTTTCGAGGCTTTATTGAGATTACGTTTTGATTTTCGTATTGTTTATGTCCCAAGCTCACAACGATTCTAAACTTATTCTAACCTATTCTTCGATAATGCCATTTTATGGTTAATGAAAATTTTATCTACCCGCTATGTTCTGAAATATTGCTGGTCGTGCTTAAAACGAGAGCTGGGTGCTGAATTAAGTCTTTTCGTTCTGAAGTAAGGCTAGTACGCGCTTCATATGTCTTGTGAGGGCTGCAAAAACGTTGATAAGCAAACGCACTATGTTTTGATCTACTCCTAAAATGCCTAGAAAAAAAATACGGTGCCGAATTAGTGCCAGTCATGCTGAAAACCAGCATTGAGTTCTAGTCTGTGGCATTAAGGAATCCACTTCAGAACAGACTCAGAATTTACTCACTATAGAACATTGGAATTATTTCATAATTAGTGAGATTTAATTCAGCATTATGGTTAGCTTGGGGTTTTGAAAATTTTTCCGTATAAAAAGCCTGGGTGATTTTTATATCTTCATTTTTGGCCAGATATATTATTGACCCACTGTTTCCTATTATACTAATACATTTTGACTATCTAAAGATATCCATAGTGAATGTAGGTGCTTCATGAGATGAAATACGAAGCGTCGACGCTTCTTATATTATATATAACAATTAACGATAAATATTTCTACTTTTTAGATAAAACCTAGGATTAATTCAGTAGTATTATGTGTCTTTTTACATCATAAGCTTCTGCCTGTCAAAGAGAATGTTTTTTAATCCACAAGACAGTTAAATGTATTACTTATACGCTACATGTGATGCTAAGGAGGAATTTAAGCGCTAAAGAGGTGTATTTAGCACGGTGTATCTTTGTCTTTAGCCGAAAACATATTGTATGACACCCACTTTACATAAAATCTAGAGACAATAGGCTGGATTCAACATAGAACTTGGCACCGAGGTGCAGCAGTTCGAGTTGCCACGTTCCACAATAGAATTTATACTCACTGTCAGGTTCGATTAACAAGTGTATCTAGTTTAGGAACCACTTATTTAGTTGACCTTCATATTAAAAATATGATTTATATTTATTTAAATTTTTAATGGTATCTATAGAGATGTCCTTATCTGGGCTTGCGTACATAAACTTTACAGGCAATGGGGCTTGCACTTAGCTCAGTTATATAGATGACACATTCTCTTAATAATGATGTGTGCGGAATACTCTGTACTTATTGAGTTAATGGCAATCGCAGACTAAAGCTTACAAATACAATGGCGATTTAAATAGTTGACTAGCCTATCAAAGTGAAGCGCATTTTGAATGAAAATTTAACGCCTCTACAACATGAATTTTTCCTTCTGTTTTCTAAATTTTGGTTGTGCACATCAGTTAAAATAATTTAGCAGCTACTTCCCTAATTTTGTACTATTACTGACCTCAGTGCCAATATGCACCAATTTATGTTAAGAATGGTTTTAAAAACTCACAGTATTTTGTCAAATACCGGTCGTATGACATTTGACTTCAAGGTAATTGCATAGTTATAGAAGAAACAGGTAAGTCGGAGGAGAGAAGCATGAACCTCCTGCACCAGAATTAGGTGGGTCGTGTGTCGTTCACGTACACTTTCAAACAAATTTTGGGAAGTAGAATATAGTGGAAATAAAATGAACTTCATCTGGGTTCGATTCCAGACCGACGCACTCCTAAAGTTCTTTTGCTCTGTAGTAAGCTCGGTGAGAATGGAACTTTCAATGTGAAGATAGTAATCTCACCTTGGTAAAACACACAACTGGTACTGAAACTTCAAAGCTGAATCCTGAAGTCCTACGTTTCACTCAGAATGCAAAACAATGGAAGAAAAACAACGGGTGATAAGACAGAATCCCAGTTCATAACTTTTGATCGGAGATAATATATGAAAACCTGTGACTAATAGAATACATAAATCACTATGGTGGAATATTTGCATTCATTCGATATAATAAACAATATTATAGTATTACTATTATTATCACATTACTATTACAATATATTTTCCGTCTCATTCTTATGTGTCCGGTTAAGTATCATTATATTACCACCAGTATCTTCTTTTGTGAGCTCTACAAGTATGCGACTAGTCAAAATGATACAGTTTGGGAAGATTATATTCCAGAGCTCTTACTTAAATGATTTGCATGTCTTTATCTCGCTTATTATGATCATTTCGACAGCAGAAACATGTACGGTTACTACCAGGTTCTTTGGTCATAAGGTCTGCTCAAAAGTTTTATTCTGAGGATGTCTATACAATAAAGATAAAAACAAAGAGAACTGAAGAGTTTCTTATTTTCCTTTAGTGAAACTTCACGTTTAGCATTTTTACTCTTAGGAGAGTACCTCACCTTCAATGGCTTGTGAGAATGTCCTTCACTGAATAACTTAAAGACTGAAAACTGTTTTTGTTTTTCAACTCTTTCATTGTTTTGAACTAGCTCCTTTATTGTATTAGATAAATTACTCAATAATACTCAGTGTTTCTAAATCAATATTGTATTTTTTTATTTTCCAGTAATATGCCGAAAGAAAATGATCCATCCGGGGATACGGATAGCGTAACAGTAGTGAATAAACCAGATGAAGTGAAATTAAAACGTTCCATTGGTCTTGTGACCAGTATTACCATCATTGTTGGATCAATGATTGGATCCGGTATATTTGTTAGTCCAACAGGTATACTAAAAAATGTCAAAAGTATTGGAGCTAGTCTTGTCATATGGGTTGCTTGTGGTATCTTCAGTATGCTTGGTGCATATTGTTATGCAGAACTTGGTACAATCATTGAACGGTCTGGTGGGGATTATATCTATGTCTATGAAGCATTTGGTCCATTTTTTGGCTTTTTACGTCTATGGGTAGAAGTAATGGTTGTTCGGCCAGTATCTATCGCTATTGTAGCTCTGACATTTTCAGAGTATGTATTACAACCTGTATATCCAGATTGTGAGATACCCATTATTTTATTGAGAATTTTAGCAGCTTTATGTATCAGTAAGTTCATAGATTCCGAATTTTAAAAAAAGTTATTAACGTTTAATTAATTGATCTTTTGGAGTACTATATTAATAAACTGTATTCCCCTGATAAATTGTAGTTATCTTCAACAAAATAAGTGAGGAATAATATCTAGAAATGAAATTCAAAATGATATGAGTTTATAAATCCATGAAGTAACATATTTTGGATCTGAGATCCCTTTGAAATGAGAGAACTGAAAAGATTTTATCGGTCGATTCTACTAATTGACATTTCAGTGGGACATTAAGGATATTATTTTATACCTATATTTTGTTGAATTCCTTCAACAGTTATGAACTCAATAGACAATCGATTAGGTTGATTTAAATTTAATGTTTTTTCATTCATCCATTCTTACTCTACTCAGGAAACGGGATAAGTTAGTGCAGAGATTTTAAAAGAAGTAAAATTAGATGTTACTTGGTTAATGTTGGCTAGCAGTTGAATTCACGATGCACATTTCGTCTTATTTGAGATTCGTCAGTTGGATGTATCGACATCCCTAATGAGATTTGGACCCTATACTAATTGTTTCAAGCACCAAGGAGTTATCCGCTACTGGGATGGTAGCTGACATGCCTAAAGAAATCAAATATTCCAGTGCAATATAATCATTTAAAGCGAAATGTAAATTAACTAGACTTAAACTTCTTCAAAAAGAAAGGACTTTGTGCTTGTTTTCAAAAAACTTTTCCATGTAGCACTCTGGCATCCGTGGCTTATTGGAAGAACACTCACCAACCATGCAAGTGGTCCGGAGTTCAATCGACAGCCACTGACGCACTCCTAAACCTCGCTTACCCAGTAGTAAACGTGGTAAAGGGGGAAGGTTGGGCGTGAGGTTAGCAATCCCATCCTGTAAAAAACACCACTGCTACCCTGAAGCACTAAACTGAAGCCACATGTTCTACTGGGAATTAAGATGAATTTTAAAACATGTTGCACTCTGAGAAGATGTATAACTTCTATATTCTAGTTTATTTCTTTCATCTATTTAAAAACTTATTACCAGTGAAATTAATTCCTGGTAATACATCAAAAAGGCGAACTGGATGCTTAAAACTATTTTTTATTCCTTCACGTTCCCAGTGGAACATAGGGCTTCAAACCTCTAGCTTGAAGTTTCTGTAGTAGTGTTTATTTTTACAGGATGGGGTTGCTAGCCTCATGCCCAACCTTTCCTCTTTATCAACTTTAATTACTGGCTTAGCGAGGTAAAGGAGTGCGTCGGCCGGGGATAGAACCCCGGACCATGTGCATGGTCGCCGAGCGTACTAACCGCTATGCCACTGACGCACTGCTACTGATTAATTTAGCTGACTAGTAATATACCACTCACATCAACCAGTAGTACTTACTAGCCAGATTAAAGTTATCTGAAAACCGGACAATTGAGTTAATCAATGGTTTACGCCGTTTGACTCAACTCAGAGAGCCGAATCAGTTGAAACCATCTGAGAATAGATGACATAATTTCGGTGAAATCCCACCTAGAACTGTGTAAATTGTAAATTAATTTCTGAAATTGGATTTTAAGATTATTTGTAAGTTAAATATATTGAACTAAACATAATTTATGCCTCTCTTTTCGTATCAGTTGAGATGAAATTTTAATTTATGAATTCAGGAAAACAGTAATAATAATGATAATAATAGTAGTAACTAATTTATGATGTTTGCTATTATTAATACCTAAAAAAACTTAATTTTTCGCTTTACTTCCTTTTTTTAGCATTTTTAAGTTTTGTCAATGCTTTCTCTATCAAAATATCAACACGTATACAAGATGTATTTACATTTGCTAAACTAGCAGCCTTGGTTATGATTATAATAACTGGATGTGTACAAATTGGATTAGGTAATTGCTGTGTTTATTTATTATTTGCTTTTATTTTCATTTATTTTTTTATTATTAAAAATGAAGTAAATTATTGAATTTTAAACAATGATATGAAGGTTTACAGTATGGTTTAAAAAGACAATCCTAGCGTACGTCGGTGGCACAGCGGTTAGGACGCTCGCCAACGATGCACATTGTCGATGGGTTCGATCCCCGGCCGACACACTCCTTTACCTCGCTAAGCCAGTAAGAGAACTGGCAAAGAGGGAAGGTTGGGCATGAGGCTAGCAACCCCATCCTGTAAAAATAATCACCACTGCTACAAAAACTTCAAGCCTCTAGCTTGAAGCCGCCCTATGTTCCACTAGGAACGTGAAGGAATAAAAGAAGGCATTCCTTAGGAGACTTGAATAGTCGTTGTAACGGTAGATGATAAATGAAAAGCTATTTTCGTAAGATTATTAAAAAGGTTTCCAATCAAATGTTCTAAAACTTGTTTAAGTATCATGACTTTTTACACATAACTTCATTAATTTACCCTAACTGGTTGGTTCAGTGTCAGTAGAGCCTTTGTTAGGCTAGGATCTTGTAGTCTAACTCAGTCAGTTTCCCCAAGAGAATGGTACCTTGGGAATATTCTATATTGAAGTTGCTCTAACATGTACGTCCTTATGAGAGATTTTGAGCCGTGTCATCAAGTTTTCAACGAGTGAGTATCTAAGCTAAGTAAACTACACCATCCGTATTAGATGCAAAGAAGTAGAATGTGTTATGAGACAATATTTTACAGAAGTTAGTTAAACTTTTCTGATTTCTTGATTTTTTTTGATTAAAATGCATGGAAAGAATTAAATGTTGTTTTTTGTTAGTGGAACATTATTATTATTATTGTTACTTAGTCAGATGACAGAGGTGTGAAATAGCTTTGACTGCCTTTCTTTCGGTATTTCATTCTATGTGACTTTGGCGTTCTATGCACAATAAACTCAGTCCCACACAGACTATTCACTCCAAACAATACAGTCACTTTGTTTGTTCTAAAAACTAACGATTAAATCTTACCTATTGGAATTTGGCATTGAAGAAAGCACACTTCATTAGATGACTTAACAGAAGAAATTGTTAGTTAGTGTATCCTAATACTCAAGTCGTCACACTCCATGTAGCACACAAAGCAAGAGAAGAAAGTTAAAAAGAAATGCATGATAGCGACAGTAAACATAGATGTGAGATAAAGGAATAGTAATAACGAAGAACAATATAGTTTCATTGAAAATCATAAGTCATAAGGAGTGGATGCATCTGCACCAGCCATTGAGAACGATTTTGAGCCATATCACCGATTGTCTCCAGCCGTCATTGGTTTTTACCGTCCCGAGGACCCGAACCAGTCAGGAAGTCTACACCTTCCTACGTGACTGGCTTAAACTAACTGTTGTGGATTTTATTGACTGGTGCCATGTTTTGGTTTGACCACCGCTAGCTCTTTTCCAACCTGACCCTATGTCAGCTAACACTGCTCGTCGGTGATATCTTTATTTATTTATTTATTCGGAGATAGATTGTTGGTTGCCAAAGTTCCATGGTGCTAATTTTCTTTTTTTAGCCACGCATTTGATCTTTAGTATAGTGCGAAGGCATCTGTTGATAAAAGTTAACAACAGCCTGTTGGAAGTACTTTTTATTATTATTGTTCCCTTGGGTTCCTAGTGGAACATACGGCTTCAACTACGCGTCTCCACTGGTTTTTGTCTTCTGCTTTACTTTTCACCTGCACCCATGTTAATCCATACTGTTTCAGCTCCTCTTCACACGATCTCCTCCATGTCACCCTTCGACGTCCCACTCGCCACTTCCCTTTCGGGCTCCACTCGAGCGATGGCCTGACGCGCGATGTCACCCAGTGGCCTCCTCAGCGAGTGTCCAATCCATCTCCACTTTCTCCTGCATATTTGTTGGGCGATTGGTTCTTGTTTTGTTTGTTCCCATAGTTTCTTGTTGGTGATTCTTTCCGGCCATCTGATCTTCAGTATAGAGCCAGCGAAGACAGTTGTTGATAAAGGTCTGCAACCTGTTGGAAATATTCTTTGTGACCCGCCAAGTTTCTGATCCGTAAAGCAAAATTGACTTGACGTTTGTATTGAAAATCCGAATTTTGTTGTTGATGCTGAGTTGAGTGACGAAGATTTCCAGATTGGTTTCAGGTTGATGAATGTGTTTCTCGCCTTCCCGATTCTCGATTTGACATTTTCGTCCGTTCTTCCTGTAGTTGAGACAATGCTCCCTAGATAGGTGAATGAAGTAACCTCTTTCAAATCCCTCCCGTTGATGGTGATTGGCGCTGGATGTTGCTGCTGATGTTGTTGTTGGTTGGTTATTTTCATAACCTCCGTCTTGTCTATGTTCACCTGGAGTCCTGTCTTTGCTGCTTCTTCGACCAGTTTGTCGGTTTTCGATTGTAAGTCTTCAATTTTGTGTGGCGCCAAACATAAATCATCCGCGAAATCCAGGTCTTCTAGGTTCTTCACGTCGGTCCAGGATATCCCTGTCTTCTCGTCTCCCACTGTCTGACGCATAATCCAGTCCACCACAATTAGGAATATCATTGGTGATAATAAGCACCCTTGTCTGACACCTGTGTTTACTCCAAATGCCTCGCTGAGTTTTCCGTTGTGGATCACTTGACATGTGCCGTTGTCGTGCAGCTGTTGAATAAGGTTGATGAATATTTGGAGCACGGTGTAATACTCGTGTAATTTCAAATTACTTCGCGGTCAACGCTGTCGAAAGCCTTCTCAAAGTCTATAAAGTTGAGGTAGAGGTTTGATTGCCATTCCATGCTTTGTTCGATGATAATGCGTAGAGTTGCAATTTGGTCAGAAGATTATTTGCTTTTCCTGAATCCAGCTTGTTCTGGTCGGAGTTCTGTATCCAGTGAGTCCTTCATTCTCTCCAGGATGATGCGACTCAGGATTTTACTTGGCGTCGACAGGAGCATGATTCCTCGCCATTTTTATGCTACATGTGTCATACCTCTGTGAACCATCTAGAAGCATGTACTATTTTGACTGGCATAAGTGTTGAAGATCCTGATCTTCCTGACATCCTCTAACATCTGTGTGACAATTTCACTAGAACCCATACTGATAAACGTCAGTATTATGCTTATCTTCTTCTTCTTGCTCAATGCAATCAATTTTTATATTCAGTTTACTCTTTGCTAGTTAAACAATTTCTGTCGGCTAGCCTCACCTTATGCATATATCATTACCTATATAGAATTAAATATATCGAAATATAAAGTCAGTTAGTTGTCTGACATTTCGCTGTTAAAGACAGACAATAAGAACAAGTGTTAGAATTTCGGTGCACTGTTAGATGATTATCCTATCGTTTCATCGTCATCATAATCATCATCAGAAGAAGAAATTAGTAAATCACAGTAATAATCGCTTCATAAAAGTGCATCATAAATAAAAACAGCAACTTGTGAAAGTCTCAACATTCCTGGTTATCACTAGCGCATGGTGATTGTTATTGCTTATTAATCACTTGTACCTTGTTTTCTTTTTGATTTTATCAAAGCAAAACATTCCATTCTTAGGTCACAATGTGATAACAGCAGAGAAGAGTGAAGGAATTTAGATGATACGTATATATCACAAAAATGGTGTTGTTATTTTTACTCTTGTGATAAATGTACACATCATTAAAAGAAACATTAATTACAGACTTTTGAAAGCTTATGAGTACATTGTGGAAACTAAATTTAGTTATTAAGATGGTCATCTCATTTAAATTTAATTGACCCAGACACCGCCGTTCTGGCTATTTTTATTTTAGTCCTTTAAGTTCCCAGTACTGGAATATACTGTGGCTTCAAGGTAGAGCTTTGTAGTCACGGTAACAGTGGTGTTTATTTTTACAGGACGGGGTTGCTAGCCACACGCCTAACTTTCCCTATTTACCGGATTTACTATTGGCTTAGTGAGACTTGGGTGCACTCTACCACTGCACCACCCATGCACCGTTTCAGCTGCAGTTCACACAGATAATGATCATGACGATGATGTTGAAGATTCTACGGTGGCGCAAGACAGGCGTCTACCACTGTCTGTTTCAGTGTGTATGTGTTTGCGTGCGTGTCAAAGTCTACAACATACAGTACAAGAAACAAAATTAACATTTTCATCATGAATGCCAAGTCAATGCTTTTATCTACTTCACTACAAATATCACATCCAGTTGGCTTCCACAATCTCCCATCAACACACTTGTCTTCCCGTGATGTTGAATATCAGATGGACCAGCCAGAAAGGATGAGTAGAACAGAGACCTCTAGCAGTGCAGAGAATCGACCATAAACCTATTACTCTACAAATACGCAGAAGGGGATGGAGATTGACTGGGAATACACTGAAGAGAGTTACAAGTGACAACACACACGCACACACACATTACTCTCCACTGGAACCTGTACAGAAAGAGATAGACTACTCACCCAAGAGTGACATAGGGGAGATCATGTGGAGAGCGAATGAAATGGGTAGTGGTGAAGCTAGGTGGAAACGACGACAGATAGCACAGTACAACTGAGGTGTGCAGCTGAAGCTTTGCGTTCCACTTAGACTGCAAGGAAGGAATAGTGAGTGAATGATCTTACATCCAGCTTGGTTGACTCGACAACATAAGAATTTTGACTAGGCTTATATTACGACGACATCTTTCTTTCATCAAATTACCATATAATGGGAAGTAAACAGTAGGATTCTGAGACGTGGATTAAAGTCAGTAATTCGTAGGACCTATTTTGAAGCCAAAAATTTGCTCCATTGCAAACCTCAAAGGTGCAAAAGTTTTTATGTCACGTCCCACACTATTTACCAATTTACATGTGTGTGTGGACACACATACATAGGGAAGAATAATCGCGCTTTGCAAGTGAGGTCGGGAGAGCATGGATGCAGTTTGGAAAGTCAATAGTTGCAGATGACAGACTACCAAATTCTTCTATAGCC